CTTCTGTCAAAGAGCTTACAGTTGAGTTGTAGCCGTGTGTGTGTGTGTGTGTGTGTGTGTGTGTGTGTGTGTGTGTGTGTTGGGGTGGGGGAGAGACAGACACATGGCCTTTAAATGTGATAGTGTGACAGGGCCCATATTAGGACATGTTCTAGGTATGGTTTGGGAACAAAGGGAGAGGGGTCAGTTACCCGTCTGGAGTGCTGGTCAGAGATGTCTTCATGAAAAGGTGACCCCTGAGCTAAGTCTTAAACATGATCTGGGCAGAATTTCTAAAAGCAGAAATGGAGCAGGAGGTAGTGCAGATGCATAAGCAGTGGGCCGAGATGAGAGTGGGGCCAGCTGCCAGGAATATGAGTCAGCAATGAGGCTGGAAAAGTTGGCTGAGGTCGGACCAAGGTGATCCAGGCTATCAGGTCTGGACTGAACTCTGCAGGCATTGGACCACCCATAAGGATATCTAAGCAGAAGAACAAGATCAGATCTGTATGTCAGCCAAGTTATTGTGGCCACAGGATGTAGGATGTATTGGTGGAAAGAGAGACAACAGGCAGAGGCCTCTTCCATGGGAGAGCTCATCACAAGAGCCCAAGAAGGAACAAGTACCAGAACTAAGCTATAGCGTGGCAGGAATGAGAAGCAAATAGTATGTAAGAGAGACATTACAGGGAGACACAAGAAGTAGAATCCACGTGACCTGACAACAGGTTGCGTGTGTATAGACTGAGCAAGCCAAGGAATCACCAGACTTCAGGGTGAGTTACTCAAGAATGTGGTGTGCATTCAGGCAATATCTAGAGATGATGGGGAACTTGGAAATTCCCCTTTTTTGCTTTGGCAAAGCACCATGTAATAAACATCCTTGAGCACCTATAATGAACAACTTGGAATACTTATGTTAAAGAAGCAGGGGTCTCACAGAGGTCAGAGCCGCTCATGGGCTGTGTGGCCTGGGGAAGGCACTTTACCACTCTGAGCCTCAATTTCTCACTCTGCAAAATGGGGATGATCATTGAATCTATTTCATAGGGTTGTTATGAAGAGGAGAGACGAGATTACGCTGTGCAGTGTTTAGGAGGGAGTCTGACACGGTAGCTTTCAATGAATGTTAGCTATATTACTATTATTATTAGCACGGGTTGGAGGATGCATGTTAACCGTACTGTCAGGGCCTTAATTTAAACTAGCATCAGGACAAAAATAGCATGAGGAAAAACATTTTCCTAAAATGCTGTTTCTTTTGGGGTGGTTTCATAATGCTCAGCTGAAAATCACACCTCATACTTAATATTTAAAAAAAAAAAAAGTAGAAGCCATCCAAATTTCCAATGGCTTCTCACCCCTTTAGACTGAAATCGAAAATCCTCACAGTGACCTTATAAGCCCTGCATGATTTGGCCCAAGCTCCCTCTGCAATATCCTCTCTGCTCTCCCCCTTGCTCACTTCACTCCAACCACAGACTTACTTTGCTATTCCTTAAACACCCCTGACGTGTGCCCACCTTGGAGTTTTTGCACTTTCTACTCCCTTGGTCTGGAACGCTCTTTGCCTGACATCTTCATGGTTTGCTTCCTCACTTCCAGTGTTTGCTTAAATTTCATTTCTTCAAATAGAGGCTCTTCTGACCGCCCTAAAATTGTCCCCTCCATCCGTCCCTATTCCCTTATCCTGTATTATCTTTCTTCATTGGACTTATTGTCCAATAAGATGTTCAGACATCTTATTATATACATAGTTGTTTCTTTCTTTATTGTCTGCCTTCCTCATTATTAGGTTTGTTCTGTTCAACTTATTATCGTGCCTGAAATAGAGCCTAGCACTCAGCAGACTCTTAATATTTGTTAAATGAATGAAGCACTTCCTCTCAGCAACTCTTCTCTTAGTTTCCGTGGTTTTCTCCCTGCTTCCTCAGACATTCCTTCTTCCTTACCTTTCCTGGGTTTTCTTTTTCTAACTGACTTCTAAATGTTGGTGTTCCTCAGGACTCCATCCTGGATCCGTTTTTCCTCTCTTCACTCTCAGCCTAAGCAGTCGCATCTATTTCCATGAATTTAAGTACCAGCTTTATGTGGCTTACTTCCAAATTCTATCTCTAGCCCAGAGCTCCAGACTTAGCCGATTGCCTGCTTGACATCTCCGCTTGACTGTATAAATAGGCATTTCAAAAGTAACATGTCCATAACTGGATTCTTGATCCCTCCGGCCCCAACAAAAACCTGCCCCCCTCTAGAATTTCTGAATAGGAAGATCAATGTGGTTGGAAAAAGAGAAAAACTGTTCTGTTTACATAGGACTTTACTTAAGTAAAACTGGAAAAAAAATCAATTGTATCAAAGAAGGAGAGGAGGAGGTAATAGAATTATGAGGAGCGTTGGACCCTCTTTGGCACTAGCACAGTCCTCGCTATTTTACAAAAAGACACCACTTGCCACTGGGTTACCCGAGTCGAAACCCTAGGATTCCTCCCTTTCTCTTACTTCTGCATCTCACGTGGACTCCTGAAGAAGCCTCCTAACTCATCTCCTCGTGACCATTCTTGCTGATTTGAACCTGTTCTCCGAGTAGCATCAAGAGTGACCTTCTTAAACTGTAAACTATATAATGACACTTTAAAAAAATCCCTTAAATGACCACCCACGTCCTTAGAGTAATACTTGCACCCCTGACACTGGCCATGCCCACATCTCTGCTGGTCACTCTATCCTCAGCATGCACCACTCTCCACCTGACTGGATACACTTCAGCAACACCAACCAGTCTTCCATCTGTTCTGAGGATTCAACAAATTCTTTATTGCGTGAGGCCTTTTCATGTGCTGTTCCCTCTGTCTGGAATGCTCTTCTTTCAGCTCTTCACATGACTAGCTCCGTACCTTTGCATCCTTTCTCATTTTAAGTGGCACCTCCTCAGAGAGGTTTGCCTCCGATCACCTATTTAAACATTTAACAGTTAAATCCAAATATTCTTTTGAATTTTTAAAATAAGATAAAGCGATCTTGGCCAAGATGGAGTAACAGGAAATGAATTTATCCAGCAGCCTGAAACAACTAAAAAACTGGTTAAAATATATGAAACAATGTTTTCAGATACTGGACATCAGGAAGCAGAGATGAGTAATCCTTGAAAGAACAGAAACAGGGTTAGCCCTGTGATTGCCCCAGGTTGTTGCCTAGAGAGAGGATCCAGAATGCAGCATCAAGAGGGGTAACCTAGGCAGAGTCCTGTGGTCTCCCTGGGTTAAGGAGATGGTGTTGGGTGTCTGGTAGGCCAGGGTGGCTAGAGTTCACAGGGCAGAGTACCAGACAGAGAGAGCAACACGAAGAAAAAGCTCTGGAAATCTGCTGAGGATCTCCCTTGGAGCTCCAGCTGAATACTGATCAGTGCATGTGTGGGAGGAAACTATACAGTGCCAGGGAAAGAACAACGTGAAAGGATTAGAAGGAACAATCCTTGAAATTCACACAGGGCTAGAAATAGTCTGTGTTTCCATTAGCCAAAGTGGGAAAACCTCTAAATTCATGGGTTGTCAGGAAGAGTACTCAGAAGGGTATTATATCAGCAGAGGAGAAAATTAGTCCTAAAGGTTGCTCTGATTCCGAATAACAAAGCAAACCTTTGTTTAATAATAAAAGCAAACCTCAAAAGAAGGAAAAACTAGACTAAAATTGTTTCCAAATAACATAACACAAAGCACAAGAATATTTATAAGAATACAAAAATATGCAGCATTCAACAGGGTAAAATTTACAACTGTCATCCAACCAAGCATTGCCAAGCTTACAGAGAAGCAGGACAAAATACAACCCATAATAAGGAGAAAAATCAACCAATAGAAACAGACCCAGAAATGACCGATGATGAAATGAGTAGGCAAAGACATTTAGTACTTATTATAACTATATTCCTTATTATAACTACATTCCATGTTAAAGGCAGAGGACAGATAGACCATGTTAAGTAGAAATATAGAAGATATAAAAAAGATTTAAATCAAATTCTGAAGATGAAAACTAAATGATTTGATACAAAAAATACACTAGATGGGATTAGTATCAAATTAGACACTACAGATGAAAAGTTTAGTAAACATGAAGAAATAGCAGTAGAAAATGCAAAATAAAATGCAAAGAACAAATACTGAAGGGAAAAAAATGAAAAGAATATTAGTGAACTATGGGGCAACTTTAAGCAGCCTAAGGGGGGTAGTGAGGAAACTTTTGGGGGTGGATATGTTCATTATCTTGATGGTGGTGATGGTTTCACAGCCGTACACATATGTTAAAGCTCATCAAGTTGTGTGCTTTAGATATACGTATTTAACTTACTGTACTTCCATCATGTCTCAACATTGGTATAAAAAAGCAGTCTGGAACTAAAATCCCAGATAATAACATGGGAGATGGCAATGGGGTGGTGGAGCAGTGGGTTGGGATACTAAGTGAGGGGAAGCAATAGCTTTCTAAGCTTCTTGTCTATTTGGGAAGAATAGGTCTATTTGTCTAATAGGTAATGGGTACCTATTAACTGTATAAGTTGTTATAAAAATATGTTTTAAAACAAGTGTCTTAAAAAAATAAAATAAAACAAGTGTCTTAAAAATATGGGTAGCTACTGAATGAAGCAAAATAGAATGCATAACTTGAAACCAATGTAAGAGAAAGTAGAGCAAAAAATAACTGATCAATTCAACTAAAGCAGAAAAAGGAAAAATAAGAAAACTAGAAAGATAGTAAACAGAAATTGAAAATACTTGAAGTTTTTTATTCAAGAAACTATAAAAAGAACCACAAACTAGCCTGAAGTAATAGAAAGAGGGACTCTGTAAACTTAAAAGCAGAAATAAAAAGAAATAGGAAAACTGTAAAGTTCATCAATAAAACCCAAAGTTGTTTTTTTTAAGATCAATAAAATAAACTTTGGCAAGTATTAAGAGGAAAAAGACAAGGTATAAATAACATTAGGAATTATGTATATTTTAAATTACAAGCAAATATTTTATGCCAATAAATTTTGTTTTTTAAATCGACTTCATTGAAGTATAATTTACACACAATAAAATGCACACCTTTTAAATGTATTGAGGAGTTTTGACAACTATATGCCACCTGTAACGACTACCACCACAACCAAGGTATTTCTGACAACCCAGGAGTTCTCTTGTCAGTTCTCAGTCAATCCCCTTTGTCTACCTCTTGGCCCTAGGTAACTGCTGATCTGATTTCTAAATGATAGTTTTGCCTTTTCTTGAGTTTTGTATAAGTGGAATCATACAGTATCTATCCTTTTATGTATGCCTTTTTTCATTCAACAAAATTATCTTGAAATTCATCCATGTTGACTATCAATAGTTCATTGCATTTCATTCCTGAATAGCAGTCTACTATGGATATACCACAATTTTTAAATCAGTTCATCTCTTATTGAAACACTTGGGTTGTCCAGTTTGGGGCTCTTATAAATAGAGCTGCTATGAAATTCATTTCCAGGGGGATATATTTTTTCATTTCTCCTAAATGAGTGGAAGTTCTTGGTCCTATGATAAATGTATGTGTAACTTTGTAAGAAACTGCCACTGTATGAAAATTCTAGTTGTGTCACATTCTTGCCAACATTTTACAGCAATATAAATGAAAACCTAAATGAAATAGACAATTTTATAAAAAGTAATGAATTACCAAAATTGGTTGAAGGAAAAGTAGGGAACCTGAAAAGACTAATAACCATGCAAAGTATTGAAATGGTAATCAAAGGTCAACCCCACCCTCCAAAGATATACTATGATCAAAGAGTTTTACTAGTGAAGTTCTACCAAAGTGTCCAGGAATAGATAATTCCATGTGTTGTTCAAAGTGAACAGAGAAAAAGATAGCAGTTCATTTTATGAGGCTATTACAACGTTGATACCAACATTTTGTAAGGATATCATGAAAAAAATCTGTAATTTAATATCACTTCAATCAAGGAAGCAAAAATCCCACATTAAGTATGCTTTAAAAAATAAGCAATGCCAAACATGATCAATAAGAGGTTATAGTAGTAGGAATGGTAGGATGCTTTAACTTTAGAAAAATCTAGCAATATCATTTTTTGAGCTAACCAATTAAAGGATAAAACCATATGGTCATCTGAAAAGATGCACAAAAAGCATTTAATAAAATTTCAACTCCTGTTCTTGATTTTAAAACATATACATACAACACGTATACACATACTCAATAAACTGAACACAGATAGGAATTTCTGCGGGAAGCACATATTACTAGAAAATCCAAGAAAATCGACTGGCACTATTTGAACCAATTTGAGAGCTCAGCAGGGTGACTAAATACACAAGATTAACACTAAAATCAATACCTTCTCTACACACCAGCGTTAACTAATTAGAAAATATAATGGAAAAAAGAAATACATATAATAGTTCCAAATATATTCTAGGAATAAAACAACCAAAAAATAAATAAAGAAACCAGACCTTTATGAGAAAATCTATAAAACTTTATTCAAAGACATTATTTAAAATCTCAGCCTCTTACTGTATGTTTCCTTCCAAACACTTAAGAAAAACTGCGTTTTTAAAAACCATGTTCTTTGAAACACTAATGCCATTTAAGAATGGGGAAAACCCAAATCAAATCATACTGGTGGTTTTCATCATCTTACCCGCCTCCCTCATCCTTAGATTGTAAACTTCTTGAGGGAAAAGATCGTTAGTCGTGTTCCTCACTCTGTCCCCCCACCCAATACCTTTCACAATTCTCAGCACAGATTTGGCCCCTTACAGTTCTAAAACATCGAAGAATCTGAAGCACTTGCTGGTCCTCTTTCTCTCTACCTATTTTGATGGATGTTACGCAATAATATACCGAAATTGCTCCAAGTCTTCCAGGTGATAAGACCTCCGCCAACGACTCATGCCAGACAATCAGAATACTCCTCACCTGTGACCTCTCCCCGCCCCCACCCGCCCCCAAGGCCGCAAGAGGGGGAATCTTACAGTCTCGGGCTGTTTTTCTCCTGGTGAGGCCAATGCGCCTGCGCACCGTGCCCTGATTGGCTGAGAGCTGCGGACCTGCGCGCGCAGGCCTCCACCTCGGTTACTAAAGAGCGTGAGCTGGACGAGGGCGGGTGAGGGTGGCACTGTCTCTGGCCCGCCTTGAGGCCTGTACCACGCCCGCCATGCCTAACCGCAGGGCCACTCGCAATTCCTACTATTTCTTCGTGCAGGAGAAGATCCCCGAACTACGGCGGAGAGGCCTGCCCGTGGCTCACGTCGCTGACGCCATCCCCTACTGTTCCGCTGACTGGGCGGTAAGGCTGGAGGCCAGTGAGCCCAGGGTCGGGCAGTTGAGCAAATAGGAGGGAAACAAGACTCGAGGAGGCCAGTGACCCCTGGGCCCCTCCTGGAGGGGGAGGGACACCCCCACCCCCACCCTTCCGCGGCTCAGGGCAACCGACGCCGCTTCCGCCTCCCTGTAATGTGCAGGCATCTACAGGCTGGGCCCTGGGCAGTAGGCCCTCACTGCTGCTGCTTGTCTCCCCCTTCTATCTCCTCAAGCTCCTGAGGGAGGAGGAAAAGAAGAAATATGCAGAAATGGCTCGAGAGTGGAGAGCCGCCCAGGGGAAGAACTCTGGGCCTTCGGAGAAGAAGGTAAAATTAGCCAGAGAAGAGCAGTCACCTGCCTTGCACGTAGGCATGCTTAGTAAATGCTGGATGAGTGAATGTCAATGGTAGATGACTGGGTGATTTGGGTGAATGCAAAGAAGAGTTTTTCATTTTTTTCCTCATGTAAGAGAATGCCTGCTAAAAAAAAATGGCAGGCTCCGGTACTAGGGCACACCTGGGTATCATTTGATGGTGAAGGCCAGGGAAAATCCCATTAGAAAACCTGCACCCAGTAGACCGTGATTAGCAAAGGGAGCGTTGATATTTAGAGTTTGTACTAGGTGACCTCTAAGGGTCTCTTTCAACTCTTTTATGATTTAAGAACCCTTTTTCAAATGTTTGAAAGTAGTTTGGTCCCCTCTCTCCTTTTTTTTTTCTTTCTTTGCGGTATGCGGGCCTCTCACTGCTGTGGCCTCTCCCGTTGCGGAGCACAGGCTCCGGACGCGCAAGCTGAGCGGCTATGGCTCACGGGCCCTGCCGCTCCGCGGCCTGTGGGAATCTTCCCGGACCGGGGCACGAACCCGTGTCCCCTGCATCGGCAGGTGGACTCTCAACCACTGCGCCACCAGGGAAGACCCCCCTCTCTCTTTTTGAATGACACCTGGAACAAGGCCAGTTCCTGTGTTTAAAGTATGGAAATAACAAGATTTATGGATGTTTGTGAACGTTTGTGTCTTACAGGTAAGAGTTGTATAAAGTTTATTTGGGTTAATTTGTGTGTAGCAGGATGTTAAAGCACTAAATAAAATTTGGTGCTGATTCATATCAAGAAAAGGCAAGGTAATTGTGGAATTTCCCCCCTCCCTCTGTGTTCTTCCCATTCTTACATAGCAAAAATTCTATTCTTATTATAAACTGTTAATATTGGATTGAAATTCGAGAGAGTTTTGCTTGTTTTAGGTTTGAGAGATTTTTATTTTATGGCTTTATGTTTGAGTAGACGCTCTAATCAGTTGAATTTGTACTTGTAAACCATAATTTTTTTTTTTCTTCTCACTACAGTGTCTTAAGACATCTCCCCTCAAAATGAAAGCCATGTTGTATGTTTAAGTCATTGAGACTTGGAGTCAGCACAATCTGGTTTTTACTTTGAGTGAAGAACAAATAATATTAGAGTACTTTGGGAAATGTTTTTTTTTTTTTAAATTATTTATTTTTGGGCTGCATTGGGTCTTTGTTGCTGTGCGCGGGCTTTCTCTAGTTGCAGTGAGCGGGGCCTACTCTTTGTTGTGGTGCGCAGGCTTCCCATTGCGGTGGCTTCTCTTGTTTCGGAGCACGGGCTCTAGGCACGCGGGCTGCAGTAGTTGTGGCTCGTGGGCTCTAGTTGTGACGCACGGGCTTAGTTGCTCCGCGGGATGTGGGGTCTTCCCGGACTAGGGCTCGAACCCGTGTCCCCCTGCATTGGCAGGTGGATTCTTAACCACTGCGCCACCAGGGAAGTCCTGGGAAATGATATTTTTTTGGCCACTGGACAGGCATGTATTGTGTGACCCAGTAGGATTAGTTTAGATTATCAGTAGTGGGCAAATGGCTTTCAGCAGTAATTGGAGTGGTTATTTACCACTCAGCCTTTTGATACAAAATATTTATAGATTTTTGCCATTGTCTGCCTTTGGGTGTTGGTTTTGTTGACGATTATTTATTTATATACTCATTGGGTTTGTTGGCATGGAGAGGTTACCAAAGTAATCTGTGGGTTGTTTTGCAGTTATTTTACTAAATTTAAATATATGGTATAAAGTGCCCAGCGGGAGTTTAAGTATGTGGTCAATGATTACCTTTTTCTTTAGAAACCTGTTTCCACCCCACTGAGGAGGCCAGGCATGCTTGTACCAAAGCAGAATGTTTCACCCCTGGATATGTCAGGCTTGTCTCTAAAAAGTGATCAAGGTAGAGTAATCCTAAAATGTTTGCTTAGATAAATTTGGGTGCTTAAAATACTATGATATATTGATCAGTAAACGTGTGTTCTGTTCATTTTGATTCTGCCTTTCAAAGTAATTGACTACAGGTGTTTGAACACGATGGCACTAAAGTTGTAAAAGATCGGGTAATGTGCTTTCGTTGAAGTAACACTGGAGTTTTTTTTTTTTTGCAAAAATCTGGTCTCGTTTTCTACCACTTCATATGTTATTAAACATACTTTTGGATTTAAGTGTTTATAGCTAGACACTTACATACACTTGTTATAAAAGTAAAGATAAATTGAGCTAGCCTAGATAAAAACATAGCTAATCAGAGTCCTTCCTATTCCTTCTGGCTGTTTTTTATTAAATATGTTCTTTGTTAAAAATTTAATCTTCAGCAGTCTTAAGTGTGGCCAATCCTGGTAAATAATACCTCCTTACATTCTCACATTTCTTTCTTTCTTTAGAGAATCTGTAAGTGGTCTTGTGTATATTGGTAAAAAGTAAAGAGTGAACTAAATTGTCCATAGTTTATATCAGTTTTTCTACACTGATTGTACTTGGTTTTATTTACCTAGGCCTTATATTTCTTGAGTATGGGTCACAGCTTTTCTTAAGTCATTCCTGAGATTCAGGGCTTATGTACAGCTAAATTACGTAGAGCTGGCTGCAAGTTTGAATAATTTTGTTACTTCATGCAAAGAGTGGTTACTACTTTAATCCTTGATAAGTGTAATTATAAAAATTGATTAATTTACCTGGTATAGCTGGTTTATTTTCTCTTTTCCAGCTCATTTAGGGATATAGGAACACAAGGAGAAAGGTTCTAAAACTTTTGGTTTTGTCAAAGGGGTAAATGCGAAATGCTCATCTTTTCGTGTTGTCTTTTTTATTTTTTTTAAGCTGTCCTTGGAGGCATTTTTTATTTTTTGAACATTTTTAGCCATGGCGAGCTACCTCCTCACTGTGAACAGCGCTTCCTCCCTTGTGAAATAGGCTGTGTTAAATATTCTCTCCAAGAAGGTATTATGGCAGATTTCCACAGCTTTATAAATCCTGGTAAGTGGCCAGTTAGAGTAGATGCTAGATCTTTAAAAGTTGTTTTTTATATTGACCTTATTTGATAATAGTATTTTTATTAAAAGCAGTTGTGTAGGTAAGTTCTTAAAATGTAACACAGGACTTCATAATAATTGGATGAAAAACTTTAGAACTAAGTGTTGACACAGAGTTTTTGGTTTAGTCTTTTAACCTCAAGTAAGCATTAGAGTTGGGTGGATAGAATGCTTGAAAAATGTGTAGACTATTTGCTTATTTGCAGTCTTACATCTTAGAATTTCCTGAAAGCTTCTTATACCTTTGCTCTTTTCTTTACCCCATCCTTCACCTCCACAGTCACTAGTTTTTAACTTGCTATTGCCTTATAACCTTGAGCAAAGTACTTATCCTTTCTGAACCTATTAGCTCTATAAATTGGGGATAATGCCTATTGGAGGCCTGTTCTAAGGAATACATGAGAAGGTATGGAAATAGCGTAGTATTTAATAGGCTCTCGGGTATTCTTATTTTTTTTTCCTACTACTCCACCCCATCAAAAGCAATTAGTAATGAAGACATAGGATTTGATTCAATTCCCAAGTTGGTAAAGAGTAGTTAAGGGAGTACTATACCTTTAAAGGTAAGTGGGAGGGATGTGTAGGGGGAAGAGTAAAGGAGAAGAGGTTGGGAAAAGAAGAATTTCATCTTCAGTTTTATCAATTGCTTTAAAATTCATTAGGACAGTCCAGTACTTTTCCTTGTTTTGAGATAACAAGAAAAATTTTCCTACTTAACACTTAGGAGAGTTGCTGCTTAGGACACGTCAAAAAACTACTTTTTTCTGTACGGGTGTAAAACATTAAAAAATAGAATTTGGAGACTTTTTTCCTCCAAGAAATACGTAAATACCTTGCTATATCAAGGGCCTCATGAATCCCTGTGGCCTCTTCGTGGACCCCTGGCTAAGATTCCTTTAGCACAAATTTTCTTTACCTAGTATTTCTTTCTCTGTGAGGAATAACTTGCTTTTTAAAGTAGCTTAGACAATATACCAAGATTCTTTGATAGTCATAATAGCTTTGGTTAGGAAAAAAGTCCCCTAGGAGGGTTTAATCTTCTGTAATTTCACATAGCAGTAACAAGTACCTATGTTATGATTTGGTTATCCTGTGGAATATTACTGTAGCACAACCGGAGAGCTTCCAGATTTCTGCTTCTCAATAAAATATTTTGTATTACAGGTGAAATTCCACGAGGATTTCGGTTTCATTGTCAGGCTGCAAGTAAGTATAAAGTAATGGGGTAGAATATAGGCATTGAATACGTGTGTACCTGGTTAAGATGCTGCTTTAAACAGACACATAAAACATTGATTGGGGGGAAGAATAACCTAAATTATTGTTGGAGAATCTTCATAGAAGTGGTAGATGGTGTATGTAATCCTCAAAAACTTTAAAATTATATAGAATGAAAGGATAATATCCTTTTCCCTTTATGGAGATTGTGTTTTTATTTTCTTCTTTTTTTCTGCTTATATCGTTTGGCTTGAAGATCAGCGGCTTTTACCCACCAGGTGCATAGGTAGGTCTTTTAACAGGTATCAGGTTACCTAGATTTAGGGCCATTCACAGGAATATCCATTCAAAATTAAGGGATAAAAAGTTGATACTGGGCCTCCCTGGTGGCGCAGTGGTTGAGAGTCTGCCTGCCGATGCAGGGGACACGGGTTCGTGCCCTGGTCCGGGAGGATCCCACATGCCGCGGAGCGGCTGGGCCTGTGAGCCGTGGCCGCTGAGCCTGCGCGTCCGGAGCCTGTGCTCCGCAACGGGAGAGGCCACAACAGTGAGAGGCCCGAGTACCGCCAAAAAAAAAAAAAAAAAAACGTTGATACTTCAAAAATAACAGAATGTTATACAGCAAAACAGCTATGAATTAATTTTTCAGATGAGGAAAATGGGTTTCTATTTTAAGTATTTTGCAACCAAAGGATGTGACTGTATATCTAAGCTCTTGTACTCTTGTCTAGAAACTAGATTTTAACCAGTTTCTTATTTGATTCAAATGAAAATCATGATAATAGGTTTGCTTTTTAAGTTTTATTCAAAATGTCAGTTTTTTCTTAAAAATGTAGGCAGTTAGCCAGTAGAAGTGTTTGAAATTAGAAATAAGTTTTTCAAATCTGCCATAACAAGCAGCTGTTTTGTAATACTTATAATATTGTTCTTTATAAGTGAAGAGAATATTTTAGACTCATTTTTGGTTATGTCCTTTGAGTTTTTTCCAGTCTTAGTGAAAAATATGTCCTAGTCCTTTTTTTGTTTGCCTGGGATCAGGGCTGTAGGCCTTGGAACAAGGAGTTTAAGGCAGTTTTTTTTAGTAAGTTTGTAGCTTTGAATGAAAAAAATTATAGAATAAAAATTCTGTTGTAACTTTGAGGTGTGAACCTAGCTAATCTCAAGTGTTACATTGTCTGAGGTTATTTGACAAAATAGGTAGTGGTAAAACCAAAAATAGAAACTTAGCTGGTGAATTAATTTCACATTTTTACTTAAGTTCTTTTTCTGGTTTGCTCATCTGATGAGTGCATTGGAATCCCTATGTGCCAGACACTCATTTGTGAGAATGTCCCTTTACTCTTTATTTTGTTTCTGATTAAATTTTAAAAAAAAATTATTTTTAAAGGCTTATTTTTACAGTCTTTCCAAATTAACTGATTAACAGAAAGTGTGGTTCTTTTTTTTCTAACATTTTTATTGGGGTATAATTGCTTTACAATGGTGTGTTAGTTTCTGCTTTATAATAAAGTGAATCAGCTATACATATACATATATCCCCATATCTCCTCCCTCTTGTGTCTCCCTCTCTCCCTCCCTATCCCACCCCTCTAGGTGGTCACAAAGCACTGAGCTGATCTCCCTGTGATATCTGGCTGCTTCCCACTAGCTATCTGTTTTACATTTGGTAGTGTATATATGTCCATGCCACTGTCTCACTTCATCCCAGCTTACCCTTCCCCCTCCCCGTGTCCTCAAGTCCATTCTCTACATCTGCATCTTTATTCCTGTCCTGCTAGGTCCTTCAGAACAGTTTTTTTTTTTTTAGATTCCATATATATGTGTTAGCACATGGTATTTGTTTTTCTGTTTCTGACTTACTTCACTCTGTATGACTCTAGGTCCATCCACCTCACTACAAATAATTTCATTTCTTTTTATGGCTGAGTAATATTCCATTGTATATATGTGCCACATCTTCTTTATCCATTCATCTGTCAGTGGACACTTAGGTTGCTTCCATGTCCTGGATATTGTAAATAGAGCTCCAATGAACATTGTGGTACATGACTCTTTTTGAATTATGGTTTTCTAAGGGTATATGCCCAGTAGTGGCATTGCTGGGTCGTATGGTAGTTCCATTTTTAGTTTTTTTAAGGAACCTCCATACTGTTCTCCACAGTGGCTGTATCAATTTACATTCCCACCAGCAGTGCAAGAGGGTTCCCTTTTCTCCACACCCTCTCCAGCATTTACTGTTTGTAGATTTTTTGATGATGGCCATTCTGACTGGTGTGAGGTGATACCTCATTGTAGTTTTGATTTGCATTTCTCTAATGGTTAGTGATGTTGACAATCCTCCCATTTACCATTGGAACAAAAAGAATAAAATACCTAGGAATAAACCTACCTAAGAAGACAAAAGACCTGTATAGAAAGGTCTTATAGAAAACTGTAAGACACTGATGAAAGAAATTAAGGATGATACAAACAGATGGAGAGATATACCATGTTCTTGGATTGGAAGAATCAACGTTGTGAAAATGACTGTACTACCCAAAGCAATCTACAGATCCAGTGCAATCCCTATCAAACTACCAATGGCATTTTTCACACAACTAGAACAAAAAATTTCACAATTCGTAGAGAAAGTGTGGTTCTTAGAAACAAACCTATTAAGGACTCTAGGAATGTTTTCTTGAGTTTTTTTTCAGACTAATTAAAACTGAGCACAATGTTTTTCATTCAGGAAACCTAAGATCCTTGGAGCTCACCAATTTAAGCGTGTCTTAAATTGCCAATTTGATAACCCTGAGAAATGTGCCAGTTAAATAAGACAAATGAGTGTATTAGAGTGACAGCTATGTCGACATAATAACTAAAAATGCCCAGGCTAGTGTAATCAAGCTGATATTTAGGAAAAGACCGTGTTTCATACAGTAACACACTGAAGCAATTAAAATTTGATGTGGTTACAATTTGATTAGAAGTTAAGGAATGTGCATGTAGATGTTTCAAATGCTCCTGTGCTATCTGGCCTTTTAAGAAGTAGTTACAAGTGAAATCAAGCGAAGGCTTCGTGGGCATTATGGTTTAGCACATAATATTGAAGAATTTCAAGATTGGAAGAGATTTTGATAGACTCCCCCCCCCAACCCGTATGTTCCTCTGAAGGGGAGTGCAGGTTCTGTATGTGTGTGTTGGAGTGGGGAGGAGGTAGGAGGTTTGGGCCCATCTCATTGGGCCCATCTCCCACACTTCCCTAGAGCAGCTCTGTTTCTATCTATTTCACTAATTAATGATTTTTGAGAGAGAAGCTCTGCTTTAAAAGGAGCAAAGCCTTAGAAACTGCTTTTAGCTTCCTGTACAAAAGGTCTGTCAGCTTTTAAAATGAAGCTTCATACACAAAAACATCATAACATTCACTTAAGGTGGAAAGAATATTAATGATCAGCAGTGCACCTGCTATCAATCAGCTGAAGAAATAGCACATTGCTGTTATCATTGAAGACCCCTATATTTTTCCCTGATTTCATCCTCCCTCTTAAGAGAACCACTGTTGTGAATTTTGTGTTAGTTCCTTTGTTTTATGAATAATTTTATGATAAATACATATTTAAATGGTGTATTTAATTCTGCTTGAACTTTGATTTAACATATTTTGTATATTTCTTGTATTTTTGTTAACTCAACAATGTCTTTTCCCCATTTCTGCATTGGATTGTTTTTCATCTTTTTTTGGTTTATGAAAGTTTATAATATGTTTTTATTGATTGTTTTAATTGTGTGCAGATACCTGTTTGCAGTTTGTGCCTTGCATTTTTTTACTCTATGGTGTATTTTAATGAACAGAAGTTTTTATTTTTAGTTCAGTAAATGTATCTTTTCCATTATGGTTGTGGGGTTTTTTGGTCTTATTTAAGATTTCCCTTCTACTTGAAGGCCATGAAGATATCTTTATTTTCTTCTATAGTTCCAAGTTCTTATTCCACCTGGAATTGACTTATGTATGATGTGAGGAAAAGATTCAGTTCCTTTTTTTTCACATGTGGATAATCAGTTGTCTCAGCGTATTTTATTGAATAATCAATTTTTCCCCATATGTAGTGCCACCTGTATCATATCACGTTTCATTTTATGCATGAGTCTTTCTGATATCTTCTGTTCTATAGACCTGCTTGTTTTTTGGTGCCCATGTCATATGTTAAACACGATATTTTGATCGTATATACTTGACTTTGTTCTTTTGGAATATTGTGGTTATTCTTGACTTTTTGCTTTTCCACATACAATTCAGAATCAGTTTATCATGCTTCACAAAAAGCTTGTTGAGATTTAGAATCTCAGGATTTGGAACCACAGGATTCTAATCTCAGGATTTGGGTTTTTTTTAAGGGAGTGTTTATGTATTTTTATATTTTTAAATTTTTAAATGTTATGCAGTTTTAAAGATTACTTTCCACTTACAGATACTACAGAATATTGGCTATATTCTCCATGTTGTACAATACATTCTTGATCCTGTCTTACAGCCAGTACTTTGTAACTCCCACTCCCCCACTCCTATATTGCACCTCTCCCACTGGTAGCCACTGGTTAGTTCTTTATATGTGTGAGTTTGCTTCTTTTATGCTATATTCGCTAGTTTGTTTTTTTAGATCCATATATAAGCGATGTCATGCAGTATTGATCTCTCTCTGTCTGGCTTCTTCACTTAGCATAGTGCCCTCCAAGTCCATCCACGTTGCTGCACATGGCAGAATTGTGTTCTTTTCTGTGGCTGAGTAGTAGTCCTATGCATATATATATACCACAGCTGCTTCTTTAATTTTTATTTTATATTGGAATATAGTTGATTTACAACATTGTGTTAGTTTCAGGTATACAGAAAACTGATTTAGTTATACATATGTCTATTCTTCTTCAGATTCTTTTCCCATATAGGTTATTACAGAGTATTGAGTAGAGTTCCCTGTGCTATATAGTAGATCCTTGTTAATTATCAATTT